TTTTTACTTTAAAATATAGAGTATATAGTATATTAGCTAGAAGACTAAATATCTAGATAGTAGTAGTAAGGAGAACTTATTTATAAGTTTTTAGATATACTAGCTTATAGATATAGTTAGATATAATAAATATTATAATATAGCTATTATAAATAAAGAAGAGAAGAACTTATTAAAATTATATAGGATCTTAAGAATAAGATTAATAGAGAGGGGATATTATATTATAAATAAAGACCTCTATAACAGGTTATATAGTTATATATACCCTACTATCTAAAGAATAGGAGTAATAGAAGTATTATACTCCTATTATAAGATAAAGATAGATTACTAGGAGCAGTATACTCCTTATACTCTATAATTATTATATATATATATTTATTTCTTAGATAGAAATATTCCTTTAGATAGTTATTAATATAATTATCTATATATTTATTATTACTAGCTCTATAATACTTATATATTAATAGTAACTTATATTATATAGTCTAAAGATAATCTGATTATACTATTTAGAATAATACTCTAATTAGTTTAAACCCTGATCTACCCTAGACCTGGTCCAGTATAAGTTATCTAACTGTTATATAAAGCTTAAGAATAATAATTAGTATTTACTTATTATTAATAACTATAAGAGTTATAAAACTATTAAATTTATATAGAAATACTTTAAGAATAAGATTTAATTTCTATTCTTATTTTTATATTTATTATATATATTATAACTACTTAACTTATTTATTTTTTCTATCTTTAAATAAGTATTTTATTATTTTCTTTCTAAATAATAATTATAAATAGATTTATTACTAGTTAGTAAGATAATCTTTCTAAGATATTATTATCTAGTTTAGCTAATTATCTTAATAGTTAAGAATATTCTTTTAGATTAGAAAGTATTTAGAATATAGCTTATTAATATAGTAGTATTATTAATAAGCCTATCTATACTTATATCTTAATATATCTTTTAAATCTAGCTATTAATATTTCTAATTATATTTATAATTAAATTAAAAAGAAAAGAAACTATAATAATAATTCTAATAGATTTATAATAGTTATATAGCTTAATATAAGACTTTATAGATAAAAAGAAAGTAAATTTAATAATTTAATTATTATTCTATAAGATCTATAAGGATTTTAATAAATAGTAAATATAGCTATCTATCTTAAATACTAAAAATATATAGTTAAAGAAGTTAAATAAGCTTTTATAGCTAAAGAAAAAATATACTATTTATCCAGATCTAAATAAATACTTTATTAAAATCTCTAATATTATTAATATAAGAGACTAATATAAGGGTTAATTAGATATTAAGATCTTAGCTATAGAACTTAAAACTTATATTTTTAAAGAGCTATATTTTATCTGGTAGCTTAAATAGCTTTCTTTTTATTCTAAAAAATTTATTATATTAAGAAATATATAGTTAATTTATATAATTTAATTATTAAAAGTGGACTGTTGAGGGGGGTGTACTGTTAACTAGGGTGGCGACTTAGTCCTTGTACAAAGAATAGGCTTACTGTACTAGCGCGAAAGGGGAAGAAGTTTCTACAGTCATGTGACAAAAGTTTCGCCTAAGGGTACCCCATAACCCAAGTTACTATATAACCACACGTAACTTTGAACGCTGATTATACAGTTAATTAAAGAGATTAGAAATAGAAATATATATTATTATAATCGCTAGGCTCAGGAGATTCTAATAGTATATATTAATACTTAGTATACTATCCGCGCGTATGGATATACGCGTATAATCTTGTGCGTATTGATCTTACGAGCTTGCGCAAGAGGGTAGGTTCAAAATCCTCCCAGACTTTAACAGCGGCCTCGTATAGCTATTACAAGGTCTTATCGTTCTTCGGTATGTCTGAGAGATCAGGATAACGCTTGTAAATCCTCTCTTTGAGCAGCTTCTATAGATTCTCAATAGGATTAAGGTCAGGGCTGTATAGCGGCCAGTTAAGTATCTTAAGGCCGTTCTCTCGAAGCTAATTTCTCAGCTAATACTGTATAATTCGGGCTGTATATATAGGAGCGTTATCTTGTATAAAAGTTATACCTGGTTCAGTAATAGTTAGAAGCTGCTCTTATAAGCAGTTCAAAATACAGTACCCTGTAATACCTCCTCGAGCAGACTCGGGGTTACTAAGTAAGGGGTAAAGAGAAGAGCGATTGTATGTGTAAAAGGTACTGTAGAATATTTACGAGTAATGCGTTAGCTTGCTCCTTAGCTGTATATTCCTCCTCTCTAATTTCTCGCCCTTTAGAGCAGTTAGCGAAGAGTTATTACAATATATATATTGAGCTGCTTTAACTTATATATCGGCAGAATACCTACTTCGTCTTCTCTCCCTCGCTGCGAGCTACAGTCGACTCGTTAGTGAAAATCACGTGTTCTTACTATTTAAGGGGCTTCTCAATATACTCTCGAGCAAATTGCAGCCTTTGCGCAGCCGCGGTATCTATTAATTTAGGCCGGCGAAGAGCGCGGATATACTGGATACCCTCAGACCGAAGCTACTGCGTTAGAGTATATGTATATACGTTCAGACGGGCCTGATAGATAATCTCTTTATTATGGATAAAAGGGTTGCGATTAATGAGTATTTTAATATACCTTTTATCCCTCTCCGAGAGCTTAGACGGGCGGTCAGGCCGGGTATTATCCTGACCCCTATATTAATACTTATATCGCTTTGTAATACCATATGCGATATACTCGGAAACTCCCTCTTTAAATACGATCTGGTGGGCTGTATAACCCAACTTAAACATCTGTATAATCCTCCCTCTCTTGTGAGGACTATAATTGTGGTTTAGGCGTACTCGGGTTATTATTGGATTTATTAGGATTTATTAAAGTTGAGATATATGTCGGTTGAAGGAATCTCACGCGTTATGTACGCGTTGTTATATGGACCCTTAGGCGAAATTTTTGTCTCCCCACTGTAGGTGTCAGTAATTTTTAATCGTGGCAAAGGGTAGGAGTGGGGTTGACAACCCATCGGATGGGGTTAAAATTGCTGTGCTTCAAATAGAATATAAACACAGGTATGTCCCATCCCTATCCCTAAACAATTATGCTCAGCATCGCTGATTAGTAACAGACACCCCAGATAGACCTCTTAGAGTTGTAATTATTTCATCCAAAAAAATGGAAGATGGGAGTAAGTTCATATAGCGTACATGTAGGCAATGGAGATTTCTCGGCACGGTGTATAGCCATCTGAAGGCTTTCATTTTGAGAATAAAACTCCCTGAGAGATTGAGACAACGGTCAAGTACCAAATAATATACGATATAAGAAGTATATGAAATATGCGAAATGGGCTGCACATGAAACAGGTCGTGGAAGGCGCATTTGCGCCATGGGGATATGTCTCAGCTGTGCAGCACCATATCAAAATAATTTCACCTCAGTTCTCCCAAGACTGATCCGAATTACTAGAGGTACCCGTGTAGCATGTTTTGAGACACTGACTCCATGGAGGACCCTAGTCGCGAGATTTAGCAGGCGGCTGCAACCATCTGGTCACGATTTTATTTGCCTCTTCTTCTGACACGGCAAGTAGCAGCAAATTCTACGAAGGTCTTAAAACTTCGAGAAATGAACCTTGCCTTGGGTTATCGTAAGGTTGGACCTTTGATTTGCTCCTACGTCTGGCTTGAACTTTCAATCAAAACTACTTCTAAGCCTGTAGTATTCTGAACTGCAGTTTATATGTGAAGTTTTGTGGACCAGAATGTTGATAGTCCAACGTTTCTACCAACCTTAGTATGCGTTGTATCTTGCACGGTGTTTCCCAGACACATGGAAGCCACTGTTTCATAGCGGTGCTTTATCACATATGACTAGGATGGATGCTATTATTTGCGCTAGGTGGAATTCCGTTCCGCGTTATCCGGTGGGAGCATCGGAGGTCTTGGCTTTTAAGCATACAATCTATTATAATTATGGCCCATAAATTCACCTCCCAGCGTTTCAAACAGCGTGGCGTGTTAACTCTTCACAGTATTACGGCTTTTAACCTTAAGGCAGTATTGGATCCATGTCTACAAGTCCCTCGCGTAATTTGTTTACTAAAATTGGATGGGACTGTGTTGGATATCGAAGGGGGAACATGGTCAATGAGACATATCAGCCCTAAGCCCGTGCCGGCGGTGAGAGATGTCATAGGCCCAGCTCCCAAAATGCCGCCTGCCTGCAGGTCCATGCGAGGGTACTTTCGAACAACGCAGTCGCCCTACTCCACGTCCATGTGCCAGACGAATTCCCCAAACTAGGCTACAATGGATCTGCCACCTGTCAGACAGCTCTCTTGCTTGCTATTGGTTTGTGTGCCGCGCCGCTGAAGCCACAGGCCCAGAGATGTCCGAGGCACAAACGCGCGACCCCAGGCAATGACATAAAGGCCTGGGTGAAGGAAAGACAAAGGCAGATCACTAGCTTAGCCACAGATCATCATGTGGCGGGGCGTCAGCTCTAATAGAGTCTGACATCAGTGTGTATTCCTTCAGCAGGGGCCAGTTTGCCTCCCTAGTGCCATGTCGGCTCAGCACTTGCTTGCGGCTGAAATGCATGGGAGGCTGTAGCGTGTCATGAGGATGCTCGTGAGTGTCTTCGTCCATGTTGCCGATCATGCCAAGCCCGAGCTTGCAGAGCCCAAAACAGAAAACTGCCTAGCAGTCAACCTGGCTTGGAAATCCATATGACGGCGCCAAGAGGTTAATTGTGCGCTACTCGCCCAAAGGGCAGAGTGGTTGGGCGTTTGTTCTCTCGAGAGCGGCTATTGAATCGCCCTGTAGCTGTGGTCCAGGCGGAGATAAAAAGGATGCAGCGGCCTTGAGCGGCCTTGACGTTTTGTTGTAGTGTTATATTAAGATAGCTTCCCCGAGTCTTGTCCCCCTTTAAATTCTCATTCTTCATCAGTTGTACATTGAAAAATTCACGATTCGATTGACCACGATCAATATGTACGCCAAGGTGCCCAACATGCTCGCCCTTCTCCTTCTCTGCTTCACCAGCTTCTCCCTCGCGGCCGAGAATTCTGGTGTTGTGGGCTTCTCCCCAGCTTCACCCCTGTTTGACAGAAACTTGGACATGAGCTTGGAACCCCGAGCTATCAGCCAGTCGTGCTTCACGTCTGTAGTCAACAGGCTATCCCCTCCTCTGCCCACCAACAGTGCTTTCTCCCGCTGGGCCACCGCCTCCCTTGTTATGCCCACCTGCACCGTCACCGCTCCCGCCAGCCTCTCGTCCGACTACATGAGCTACGACAAGGTTCTGTCCACCTGGCTCAGCACCATCAAGTCCGCCGCCGGCAACATCAAGACGGACTGCGGCGCTGACAGGTTCTCCCTCACCTTCTCTGGGTACTGCAGCTCCTCGCGCACCGTCTACTTCACCAGCGCCCAGCAGACCCAGACTGCCACACTGCCCAAGATGGACAAGCCCGATACCATCTACATCACCGGCGCTGGGCACGCTCTCCAAGCCTCATACCTTCTGGCTATTGGGGCTACCCTTCTCGCCCTGGTGCTTTAAGCTACCTCTAGCTGTGTAGCCCAGGCCTTGTGACAAGATGGGCATTCTAATTTTGGCATATTATGGAGCATTGGTTTGCGATGTTTATTGTTTGGAATTTACTTATCAGTTCGATGGATGGGATGTGATTATGATTGAACGTACAAAGTAGACATCGTCGTATATACCCTCGCTAGGCACATGAATACGAATACCAAAAAATCAATTCATCATTCGTCACCCACAGGCTTTGAATGCATCCGTGTATGCGTGAAGTGGCTTTCCTTTCCTTTTATGTTTCGCACCTCTCCCCAGCCACCGGGATAAACTTCGCGATAGCTGCACCCATCAATCCGGCCCTGCGCGCCGCAATGATGAAGATGTCGACGGATTTATTTATCTGATAGAATGTATGGAATTGAGCGATTCATGACACGTTCCGAAAATGAGGTCAGGAAGGATGCGGCTCTCGAGGGCACCTCCGCACCGGCCGAAGGTTTGCTGGGCAGCTTTGTTCAGGGATATATATTAACACGGCCGGAGTTCCGAATTTGAGATTTCTACGGTCGATTCAGCCTCTGAAAATTTATGGTTTCGCTGGAAAATATGTCATATATGGTTACAGAGTTAGGGGAGAACAGCTACCAACCCACATCATGGATGGTAGAGAGAAGGCACTTACTCTGAAGGTCATTGGGGCCCAGATTCCATGCAAACTTGGGGGTTGGTTTCACAGGTTTAATGTTGCCGGACCAAATATTTTATCTAATTCATTGGCTCAAATTTGTAGTCATTGAGGCTCAAAAGCACGGAAAGACTTATCGCTCAAAGGTGGACATTTTAAATAGATAACAGGTGATCCCGTCTCATTACTCGACCAGTTGAAAGAAGTGCTCTTTGAAGATGGGCAGATAAAACACCCTGGAATTGAGCTTCTATTGACCGGTTTTAATAAGCTTCTGGCTTTTATTCAGTGAAAAGTCCATCGAAAGAAGCGCATCAAGTATCAAGCAAACCGCCTTTATGTAATTGCGACTTTCTATTGAGCCTCGAATCTTTGTTTGTGTTTCTTGATCCTAGCAGTAGGAGTTCGATAAAACTTAAATAATGATCTTTATGTTCACCTAAGTTCGCTCTGTCGGTTTAAACCATGATCGATTCTTCAAATATCGCAAGATCTAAGATGCCATATCATTCCATTGTTTTGCGACAGAAGTATGTAATTATACCTGTTTCTCAATCATCTATGAAGATGTATTAACTGGTACGAACTGTCTAGTCTTGATGCTATACCCTGACTAGCTGGTCGAAGTCAGTCAAATGACGTGCTTAGCCTCATCTTGAATTGGATATGATTATAAGGATCTTTCGCATCTTGGATGTATCAACCTCAGTGAATTATGACACTGGCTTAATAACTATGACGCATTGAAATAGAACATAGACTATAGTCTAAGTGAATAGTTTGGAGGATCTGGACTACCCAATCTCCTGTTAGTAATGTAAGGACTTCTAGCTTTAGATGAGACTAGGTTTTGATCCAATGAAAAAAATATTCTCAATTTTATACAATCGATACATACATTGGGCAGGCCGTTTTTTAGACTGTAATCTTCCTAACCCATAGAGAGCCGTTGTGAAAGAAAATAGAAGCAGTTGTGACTCATAAAAGTTTGTCGCATTTCTTAACCAACAATATTTGATATTGAGAAATATGCTTTGAAGCTTAGAAATAATTCCGAACAAGTTGGCTTTCTTTAGGGTTGCCTTTTCAACGATCTATTACTATCGACTGCATATGAGGTAGCTATTGAATGGCCCCGGCAGTTCCTAAATTGATCGCTGACAATATCGGTGATGGCACTTGCATTGCGGCCTAAAGGCAGCCGGGTATCCACAATTGACGAATTGCAATTGGACATGCCTGGGGCATATTTAAGAATAGAGAATGGTGAGGGGGCACAGAACCGTGAATCGTATCGTGCCATCACTCAATTCTTCACCACCTTACCACAACCCAACGCTCCCACAAAGCCAATACAATGCACCTGCCCGCAGAGATAATCAGCAAGATCTTGGAGGAGTTGATCAATGTTCCCGAGACGAAGTTTCACCCATTCGATGCTGACAGTTCCTTCTCGCGCCGTATCTTATGGGAGGATGTGATTTGCACAGATCACTACGATAACCATCGAATCAATGTAGGCCAGTCAGCCCTCGCGCTTCGCCTGATCTCACGGGAATGGAATCGATGGGTGACAGCCACGATGCAAAAACATTTCACATGGAAGGTCGACTTTGGCTCACCCGACTCTCTCAGGAAGGCTTTGGCTTGTCTTCCGGAGCTAAATGAAGGTTCTGCTCAAGGCAATGGAATATTGCCGACTCGCGAGATTGTCAGACGACTGGTGGTTAAGCCTGGGAAGGAGGCTCGTTTCATATTCGTCATGGGTCACCCCAAGAAATGGAATCTCAATGACCTTCTGCTTCAACTGTTCCGCCGTTTGGGACACGTGGAATCTTTTGCTCTGCATTTCCCACCAGGGAACTCAAATGATCCAGATGTAGCCAACTCCTTTATCGAAGCAGTAGCCCACTGCTTCCATCAGACCAAATCATCGACTCGTATAACAAGTCTTCAGCTCAAGGTTCCCAGTACCTATCATGCAGCACAGGCCTTCCAAGCCATTCTGCCCGATAGGCCGGTGCAAATCCGGAACCTTCTGGTCGAAATCCTCGATTCCTCCGGGAAGTCGGGAAGCAGAGACTATCTGAGGGAATCATATATGGAGGACGAAGACGTTGATGGAACCGCGGAAGAATCGGAAGATGACGAAGCAGCGCTAGACTACGACTCGAGCTTTGACAGATCGCCGCTTCAGCGAAGATACCCGAACAGACGACACCAACAAGAACTATGGGAGTGCATCACTCTATGCAAAAACCTGGAAGCGTTGAGTATTCAGGGTACTCATTACCTCGATTTGGGCCGGCTTCGCTGGCCAGGTCTGTCTAATTTTACAGACCTTCGTGTCCTTCATCTTGGCCGGCTCTATAGCGGTGTCACGCCCATCCAGAAACTTATCATACGGTGGGGGAGACCACCTTCTCTACGGAAGCTTTCTCTACGGAAGCTTATAATAGACGACGTGAAAATGCCATTGGACGAAGGAATATGGGGCGCAGTTCTTCATTTTCTTTTGGATGAATGTCCAGATCTCGAATTGTTCTTTGTCTATAATTTGAGTTATTTTAGTGATGTCGGCCGGGCATGCGGTCTCAGCTCACCAGAAGATGGCACTGTCATTGATTCTAGTGAAGATGATGATTCGGAACCATTGGAAGAACTTGTTCATATATTCGCGGACAAATGTGGCAGTTCTGATACCTGGCCGTATTGGCTGAGGGAGATGGGAGAATCTTTGGACATCCTGGAGGATTACCAGAAGAAGTGATAGAACAAGATAAATAGGGCCTGTTATGGAACATCTGCGTGCTCTATGTTTACTTATTGTCGTTTATTCTTACCATCTATTCACAATTCTATACCTTCGTAGCTATCCCCAGGAACGAACTGGTGTAACTTGATTAAAAAAAAAAACAAGACGCTTTTTGTTCATCGTGCATGTAGCTAGGAAATCATGATATCTGTTGTTGCCGCCTCGCCTCTCCCTAGCCGTTCTATCAAGCCGCCATCTCGAATATGATGAGATTCCCTGGCAGCTTGTACTCTTTCGTTAAGAGTACCTGATAACACGTCTTCAAACATCGGATTGCGCTCCAAAACCATAGCATGGCCGAGTATAGTATACAGCCCTCCATCTTTTCGGAGAGTGAATGGGTCGTTGCAGCCGAGAAGTACCCAGACCTCATCGCCGATACGCGCAGTTGGTACTGATTTGATTTCCGTTCCGCTTTCTCCGACAAAGTGTGAAAAGGACGAAGCAGTTGCACTGGGCTTGGCACGCATAAGACGATCAGCAAGAATACCACGAGCTCGAAGGATGCGATTTGGCCTGCCATGGTTATCTGCATGAAGGGAAACAACGGCCTTTCTTGCTTGCGATGCTTGGCTGGCACCAAGAGAGTAGTTCATAGAATCATAACGAATGTCTTCAAGGAAGGTCTTGTACGCGGTGCTTGCGTCGTCTTTGACTGACCAGTCGGGTACCCACGATGGTAGTTGATCCGTGGGGGATTGGACTCGCGACCTGTCATTTTGCATTGCTATTCCAATGATATCAAGATGCTCTTGCTTTAGAATTATGGCACAGGCGACTTCTGTAAGGACCGTATTGGCAGTTTTGGAGTAATCTACCTGGATGCCATGCCCTGGCTCGGCCAACCCAAGAAAAGCATAGACCTTATCAAGTGGCACGGATGCTTTACAGTTGCGAGAATGCCCCATTAGTTGCAGCAGAGACAGATACGGTACAGACACCAACTTCTTTCTGTCTTGCAGTTCCTTTTTGCTCTGTAGAACGAAGTTGGTGGGTTTCCAGAGCGCCTCAGCTTCGAGGAGCCTTTCACTGTGTCTCTTGACAAATGCTCTTTGGTTGGCTTGTGTTTCCTCATCTGAAACTGAACTTGTGCTGCAGCGACGCGAAATCGTCTCCAAGCACCTGCATACTCTGGCAACTCCGCGCCATATCTCAGGGGCGAATCCGTCCCAGTCATTCCCACTCCTGGACGCTGCATCTCTGGACTCTCCAGCAAACATTCGACACTCATCCAGGCAACCGCCGCAGCAATTGGGCAAACGTATCATGCAACCATTTCTCTGCGACCGTAGCGTTCGCATCAGCCTAGCACAGAAATCGCCATGGCGGTGTCTCTGACTGAAGAACAATTGGAGCAGTTCATACAACTCCTCCCACGGCGCTGAAACACAACCGATCAAGAATGTGGCGTGGTCAGGACCCATGATTTCTTGATAAATCCAAGCCCTCTCCCACCAAGGGCTTGCAATGATATCGTGGATGTGGTTCCACGCCATCATGAGCTCTCTATCACGGTTATCGGAGTCGCTGCCTACCGGATAGTCTGCATCTAGAGCGTACGCCATCTCTGTTTGTGCTACAGGGCCTTGAGTCACAATTGTTTGCGAGGTTGTGATTTGGTTTTGGTGCCAGCTCCTCCAAGTTTGCCAGTCTCGGAATCCTCCTGCAACAGAGGCTGGAACAGGCAGCCAAACAAGAGTCTGGTGTGCGCAGCGGTAAATGTCTCCCATCATGGATACTTGATGGCCCTTTTCAACGTCGTCGTTCTGATTGATGCAAATTTGGTCGACCCAAAGAAGGAGAACATGCCGTTGGGGATAATGGTGAATCCAGTGTTGTCTGACGGATTCAAGGGCTTTGGATAGATTGGGATTGATCAAAAAGGGCTGAAAGTTGAGCAAAATATTCATTTGAGTTGAATTCGTCCCCCACGTGTACGATAATGCGAGGTATTTTGTCGATCGCATGTTGGCTTGGCGTACAAGTTTATGCTGGTGAGAGCCACTGAGATCGAGCTCAAGAAGCCGTATCACATCTGGAACGGAGTGAAGAGATTCGTACGTAAAATTTGATGCCATGACTAGAATAGTACTGGCGATTCTATCGGCGCTTAACGAAGAAGAGTAGTGCAAGAGTGTGTGCCACAGATGAGGGCACCCATCAAGGTGAGAGTGATCTGGACTTTCTTTTTGACAATACTTGTTTGTCTCTTCTCTCTGGCCAATTGTTCAGCTTTCCGATGGCAGGGGGTAGAGCTTTATTGCAACATGATCGGCATCATGTGGCGTCAATAGTCTGCGGCCTCCAAGAGCTCGCCTCACTCAGAATGTGCAATAGTGTTCGATCATTAGCCATTGTCATTATTTTCCCACAATGTTGCAAAAGAAATAGCTTGTAATTCGAGCTGCCAAGTCCCTGGGCTGCTGAAAACCCGCTTGTTAGGTTAGTCTCCTGATGCCGTGCCGCGCTGAAAGGACGACGCGGAGTCTCTTATTGCACAACTTGGGTCACCGCCCCGATGATTGTGCATTATTAGTGACCAGTCACTTCAGCTATCCCCTTCGTGCATACGTTAGCCTCACCATAGTAACCCTCCATATTTCTTTGTCGGTTTTCTGCACATGATCAACTGGAAATCTCCCCGCCTTCGACCTTGTTCCTCTTCAAACCTCGAAAAAAATCCGCCCAGAACCCCCATCCCATTCCTGTCGCTCAACAAATACATTTAACGTCATGAACAACAGGCCAGATGGCTTTGGGAACCTCCACCGAGCAATGGAGGAGTCTCCACCACCTCCCGTATCTCGTTCGGCAGGAGTTACAGCCACCAACGGCGCCTCAAGCCGCACTTCCAGCGTGTTCCATCTTGTGTCGTGGCTCAAAGGGATACCAGAACTAAGATCCACCCTCCAGCGGCCTTTCAATGAGTGCCGCGATGCCGTCACCTCCAAAATGAACGAACTTGGTGTATCTTGGAGGGATGAAGGGCAGGGATACATGATTTGTGAGCATGGGCAACGAGGAACCCCGGATTATGTAGAGTTCAGCATCAAATGGGTTACCAATGGTGCAAGCTCTCCTGCTCTTCCCGGCGCAGACATGTGGTACACAAAGGTCTATATCAACAAAGTGTCAGGAAGCGGGCAGGCATTTCGCGACATTGGGAAGCAGGTTCTGAATGCAGCGAAATACACGATTCAGGGCGGAGTGCGCTATGATTATACAATCGTAACTTGGGGTTTGATTTAGGTCAATGGTGGGAGGGAAACTGTTTTCTTATGAGAGGGCAAAGCAATCACAATTGGGGATTTGACTGTTATATCTACTCACTCCTGGCAAGACGCCAGCTTAATCGATCTCAATCATGTGGATATACGTTAGGTCAAATGAACTCGTTGATGGAGGCTACACATTGGATATTATATTAAATCGTCTTTTCTATCTTCTATTATAAAATGTCAAATATGACGGAAAGGGATAGAGTGCCAGGGCTCCCCAGGTGTGAGCCTCCGTTCGGATCGCTTGCTATATACTTGACTGTCCTCCCATTCCATAGACGCGCAGTCATATTTTGATATGACCACCCGTTTACCAGACTCATGGTCGAATAGAAGAATTGTGTTCATTGGTGAGCCTTCCATCTCAATCTCAGCATCACATATTCGTTGAGAGACAGGGATATTTGGCTCCCTTATCTCGGAGAAATCAGGATATCCAAGAATGGGGAAGTCTTCATCCAAGTCGCTGTAGCAACTTGTCTGTTCTTCGAAGTCCACTACTTTCCTAGCAACACACCCTGCCGCCTTAGAATCCCAAATCCCTTCCCGATGAGAGCAGAGCTCCAACAAACGGATAGCTTGCAACCGAATCCTGTGCACACGGCACTTAACAGCCATGTAATAGAGTGCCTGGATGTTGCCAAAGTCGACAATAGACCATTCGAATTTGCTTCTGCTTGAAGAAGCTTCTGACAGTCCGTAGATAGTATGAGCACCATGCCCCGAAAGCAAGCGCAGTAGGTGGCTGAGCATGTCGAGAAACCGACTTGTTTGAGAGTCATAGATCATCTCATCACCAGGACTCAGGCACACTTCGACCATGACCGTTGCCATTGAGTGGTAGGCGCGAATGAGCGCGTCAGCTTTCTCGGCACTTACTGGCAGTAAACCGAGGTCTGAACTTTGGTAGCTTTTGAGCCATTGATCGAGAGCTGATCGAATGCACTCGCGCTGTTCGATCAAGCTAGGATGGGTTTGTGTTTGCAAGCGTGCCTGCTCTGTAAGATTGAGTATTTGGTTCATTATACATTCCCACCCTTGCCAAGCCTTAGGTAAGGTTTGGAATCTCGTAGGTATTGAGAGCAAGCTATCTGACAGCGAGAATAAGGATTTTTCTGCCCTTGGCTTCCATAATTGCATTTGCAGGTGTAGCCTTGAGTAGGCTTCGGAAATCCAGCCATCTTCTTGGCCAGTGCTATGTGTCAAACGCTTGGGGGCTCGGTCAACGCAAGAGGAGCACCCTTGGAGCTCCCCCAGAACCTTTAATCCGTTTCGGAGATGCATCTGTGCAGCTTTGAGGTGACCCCGGAGGAAGTCCAGCGTGGTGAACATGATACAGATGACAAGTGCCACGCGATATGAAGCCTTGTCCTTGTTAGAGAGAAGGCGGCGCAATTCGCTGATGGCTGAGATATAATGTTGGAGCATGAATTTGTTCTCCTTGGTGGGGAGATAGTCAATGGAGGTCTCAACACAATCTTCAGCGTGAAGGATCCTGGTCCGATGGAATGCCCCCAGAGCAAGTGCAGTGTGCCACACGGCCTTTTCACCTACAGTGGCCTGGAAAAGGAGAGTGTCCCAAAACGGGCTGTGGTAACTCCCTGGGAGCTTGGTTGCTGTCCGAAGCTTGAACCAATCGAAGGCCATCGCCTCCATTTCATCGATGGAAGCTGATGCAGGAAAAACGGGGTATGCTCCAGGAGATCGAGACAGAGCCAGGCCCGAGTTGGTACAGCACCTTAACGAGGAGCCATGGCTCTCGCCTCCTAAAGTGGCTATGGGATGCGCTTTAGGGGTTCCTCCCCCACCCCAGATGCCGTACCCGTCACATGTCCGGCCTGTCTGTATGCATCTCTGGCATGCCGGGCGGCTTTCGTCGCATTTTACTTTTCGTATTCTAGGCCAGGGCGCGCCTTGATGAGCTTTCATGGAACAACATGGGGTAACTGGCAAGGGCCTAGGTAACTCACTTGCAAGTTCGGCAGCCTGACTTAACCCTGACTTTGGGTTGCCCTGCAACACGGCTAGTGCGAGCCATATTGGTATCTTAAAAGGTGACCACGTGACTGCTGCGGCGGAGATATGAAGCCCTGCGCGGAATGAAAAACTTCGTTCGTTGTTGGTGAGTGGGAGCAATAATCGATGATGTGGTGCGGCGAGTGATAACCTCGAGGCTTTCCCTCACCCATGCCAAGTTCAATCTCTTGATTGGCCCAGTCGGCTAAGTTGCCATTTGATTGGTACATCTAGGGGCCGGTGGATATCATGGGGCGAAGCTGAAAATAACCCGGCCGGTGAAGAGTCAGAAACTCGGAATAGTTTACATCGTCTTTGATGAGATAGTGGACTCGGTCCTTCTGTATTGTGTTTTATTCTAGTCTTTCCGGCTGGCCAGAATAGGCATGATGAAAGGAAGACCAGGAACTGCACATCACACAACAAGCCGATCAGATCGGATGTTCGTGCCGTGCCCATACTCCATCCCCCACCCTCCCTCTTGGAATGAAGGCTCCGCAAATACACGATCAGCATCCATTCGCCTGCTCGGCAATTCCCAAATCTCATTGGATGATGGAGATCCGTAATCATGGCCCCTTCTCAAAGAGTCGTATCTTCGGGTATGCGTCTAGGCATAGAAAATCAATACATACATAGCAGGAAGTATTTCGGTCTGACGTTCTGTATATATAAAGCAGCTTTCTCCCCCATCGCTGTAAAAATATCCATAGCAAATTCAAAACTGGCCTTAGAACTTGCAAGTAGATCCGCAACTACAAATCACGATTTGACCCAATACCAAGATGCCGACAGATAAAGTTCCTACCACACGTCTGGGAGACAACGGCCCAGCCGTGCCTGTCCTTGGTCTCGGTCTCATGGGCTTGTCCAAGGGTCCATACGGTCCTATTCCGAGTGACGATGAGAGACTTGCATTTCTTGACCGCGCTTTCGAGCTTGGCTATACATTTTGGGACAGCGCTGAGTGAGTTTTCCTCCCCCATAAGCCAAAAATAAATTAAGTTTTATAACTTACCAATTGTACCCTCCAGTTTATACGGAGATAGTGAAGAACTCATAGGCAAATGGTTCAAGCGTACAGGGAAGCGGGACCAGATTTTTGTATCCACCAAGTTCGGCTTTGTCAAGGGAAGCAAGACCCTCGAGGTTGATAGTTCCGGCGCATATTGCAAGAAGGCATGCGATGAATGTCTCAAGAATCTCGGCATCGATTCAATTGACCTCTGTATGTTCTGCTTACTTCCCTGAGACTGAAAGTGTCAATATCGACTAACATCCATCGAATAGTCTATATGCACCACGCCAACCATAACACCCCGATCGAGGAAACAATGAGAGCCCTCGCTGAGCTCAAAGCGTAAGCAAAGATCTCCAACTATCCATTTCTATATACTGACCCATTGTTACCAGGGAAGGAAAAATCAAGCACATTGGTCTCTCTGGGATAAGTGCTGCTACCCTTCGTCGTGCTGTCAAGATCGCTCCCGTTGCTGCTGTTCAAACCGATTACTCCCCTTTCAATTTGGAAATCGAGCAAGCACACAGCGGTCACCTTCTCAACGCATGTCGGGAACTCCAGATCCCCGTGGTTGCTGCCATGCCGCTCGCTCGCGGGATGCTTACCAACCGCTTTGCCAGCGGCGATGCGCTCACTGAAGGCGAGGACATGCGTAGCAAGCTCATTCCTCGTTTCCACGATGGTAACCGGGAGAAGAATGTCGAGATCGCCAAGCAATACCAGGAACTGGCTGACAAGAAGGGCTGCTCGGTGGCGCAGCTTTCCCTCGCCTGGCTACGAAAGCAGGGAGGGGATATCATCCCCATCCCAGGAACCAAGCAGATCAAATACCTGGAGGACAACTGGGCGTCACTGAATGTTGAGCTGACGGCGGAAGAAGAGGCTGAGGTCAGGAAACTTTCGGAGACGGCAGAGTTGGCCGGCTATCATCTTCCTCCCGCATTCGCAAACTTTTTGTTTGGTGACACTGTTGAGGAGGCTTAGAAGAAGATCTTATCTGAACTAACTTAGGCCAAGGAACTGTCAATAACTGTTAGGAGTATGAGATAGCATAAAAATGAAGAGAATTGTAAAATCTCATAACTCCAAGTTGGGAATCCATTTTGTAGCTAAGACGAGCTCTAAATTGAGGATCAAGGGCTAAATGCTAGCAAGATATGGGCTGCCGACACTGGGCGCACATGTGATGTTCCTCTATCTCTAGGTCCCCAATTCCGCACGGACGAACTGACTCAGTACACGTATCTAAAATGAGGGTTCTCAAAGTCCGTGATATCCTCGATCCTTTCCGTCTCGGCTGGCACACTGGTGTCAGCATCTCTTTGCTTATTTCTCCAGATCAACAACATTCGCAACATAACAGCAATCACTATTTGCCCACAGATGCAGCCGATAATCAATTTGCATCCAGTCTGGTAAATAGGTGCTTCCCTCCCAAGGAACCCGTGTGGGCCAATGATGTTTCCGATGCAGTAGGCGAGAAACACGAAAGCGGTCGCTGTTGTTCGCTTTGTGTAGCCGGCCACGTTCGATGCAGGCATCTGCAAAGCAACAATGAGCGAACCGACGAATGAGGCGCACTACTCGTTTGTTAGTTAACGGAATCTTTCAATCTGGAAAACTCAACAAAAGTTGGTGATACATACCAGGTAGTAACCAGTCAACAACCCTCCCTTATTGGTTCGAGGAAGTTGCCAAAAGAGAGTTACGGCGACCAAAGTCGGCATCAGCCAGATTATCATCACGATCGTGCGGAAGTTCTTGACCCTACTAGCCACGAATGGTCCAGTAAACATAAAAAACGCGGTGCACGCTCCGTAGGGAATTCCATACACGGTGGTGAGCAATGGGTCGCTTGTGAACCCCTTCACAATGAGTTTCGAGAAGTTTGCAATTCCTCCATTGATGGTCTCGTTGAGCAAGGTGTAGAAGAAGAGAAGCCAGATCTGGCCGTCTGTGAAAACCTCCTTTACCTGGTAGAACTTGATCTGGCGGTTGAAGACACCTGTTCGGCTGCGCTTGTTCTGGCCGATAAGCATCGCTCGCTCGTCGATGGAATAACTCTTCGCTGTGAGAATGTTGTCGGGCAAAAAGAAGTATAGAATAACGGCCCATACGATTGTTAGTCCACCGCAAAGGATGTAGATGATGCGCCAGACATCCCAACCTTTGGCCTGACCGACACCGTAGAAAAGAATACCAGCGAACATGCTGCCAAAGCCGTTGAAGCAGTAGAACAAGCCAGCTCGGGCTGGTTGCTTCTCAATGGCAAACCATTGAGACACGATAAGCATGAAGGCTGGCGTAACGACAGCTTCAAAGACGCCCAACAAGAACCGAGACACTGCTAGACCAGGAAAGTCTTTAGCGGCAGCAGTGCATAAAAGAACAATTCCCCAGCTGAGGGCGCAGGCGCTAACGACTTTCCCCGTGGGCAAACGCTGAGCCAAGTAGGACATGGGCCACTCTGCTGCGAGGTAGGCGAAGTAGAAGATGGAAGCCATCCAACTATATTGATCGCTCGTCATCCCCGTTGAGGAGAAAAGGTCAAAGACAGCAGAGTAACCAAGTGCTTGCTTGTCAACATATTGCAGCAAGTACGTTCCGCACAAGAGAGGCATTAAGAGCCAGTCGACTTTTCGACGGAGACGTTTGAGAGACGCCTCGTCTGACATCAACTGAGCCAGCCGTTCTTCTGAGATGTCATGTTCTTGAAGGAAAACATCTGCCTCATCTCTGGTGTATGTATCAACTACTCCATTTTCAATGTCACTTTTCGCATCGTTCGGCTTGCTTAGATCATGCTTGGCGTCAGACATGTTGCAATGACAGATCGGTTTGGGAATGTTCAAGAATAGTCACTGAAAATGGGAATGGTTGTTCTCTTCCAACTTCAGGACGTAATCACAGAGACACACAAGAGATTTATTGTTTTCTGATGCCAAGGAGATAGTGAAGCTTCGAAGCCTGGGTCTGAATATTGATCATTTGCGGGGAAGGGATACGCGTAGTGGCAACGAAAGCCGGGGTATGGTATCTTTCCTATCTCAGGTCTTATCTCCTAAAATGATATGGCATGGGTTTCTGTCTCCGGAGCTCAGAAGAGAGACCGACTTCGACCAGGTAGTGTCACCGCGGGGCTCTGAATGGATTGATTCCAAGATATGAGCTCCCTTAGCGCCAACCGGCTCAATAATTCCCTGAGGGTCAGAATAATCCGTGCCCACTTGAACAAGGGGCTTACACCAATGGGACATTGAGAGATAGGAGATGCTGGAAATCAGCTGATATTATCCCGTGTTCATGCCAACAGCCCAATACAGCACACTTTCCCTGCATCACAGTCGTACTTACGCAACGTGATGCGGAGAGGGTAGCTTTCGCAATCGTATTGTACGAATAATACCTGTGCTTTTCCTCATTCTTTTGCGTTTAATTTGTCAAAAGAAAGTGCTCCAACTGACAAAAGTTTAGGTCACCGGGAAGCCCTCTATGTGCCAGCCTTAGATATTCTAGTATGTTAGAAGCATGATTGACGGTTTGGCCTTATCTTGTAACGGGATACAGCATGGATAATATTGTCCGGTTTGATTCAATTATGCTGATATGCCCCCTTACTGACTCGACATCAATGGGGCTGTGGGTCACTACTAACATTTCCTATCAGCCTCGGCCTTCAAAACATGATTCCCCGCGGAATACTCAAAAGAGGCTGCCCGCGGGGAGTTCTCATATAGATCCCCGCGGAAAGTAGAGTGTAGAGAGTGTGGAGGATGGAGACGCGAATGGCCATGAGGCATCACTTCTGACGGCTAAATCTCAGGCTAAGTCTATGCTAGCATGACAGAGAGAGCCGCGGAGAGATCTGAGAGTTAAACACGTCAATATTGGCTATTCGGCAATAGGGTAGTGGTCTAACAGCGTTGAAGGGGTGGGATTTATAGGCAAGGCCCCCTTGATAACGCCAACAGCATCGATCTCTACCAACTTCGCTTCTTGGTATTTTCAATTGATCATGGCTGTCCCCTCAACTCAAAAGACGGCTCCTTCTGCCCAAAGACCCGGGATTTCAAATTCCTTTCGGTATTCAGCTATTGCAGTGCTCCCGGTCATTCTAGGATTGTTACTAGTGTTGCCAAATGGGCTGAGGGATACACTGTCCGGACTACTTCTAGCCTCGCCGGAACATCCTTCTGTGAGGATAAAGCAAGGAACCATCGTAGGGCGCATGGTCGATGATGGAACCTTTCCACAGCCACTTGAAGGGTTTATGGGAATCCCATACGCCCTTCCACCAGTTGGCGACCGACGTTTCAGGCCTGCCGTGCCAGTTCCCGAGGGAAATGGAACATATGAAGCATATTTCTTAGGCCCAAGGTGATTCCCTCTATTTCCATTGAAACTCAAGCTTTAGGAAAAAGAGCCACCATGCTAAACCGATACATAGATGCCCAGGAAAACAGCTAGTGTCGTTTCTAGACGATGATGGTCTGGGTCCAGACACCGAGTCTGAGGACTGTCTTACAATCAATATCTGGCGCCCCAAAGGCCACACCTCGTCAAAATCAAAGCTCCCCGTGGGAGTTTTAATTCCTGGTGGCGCATTCAACAGAGGAGCTGCAAGGATGCACAATACTCATTCGATGCTGGCCTTCGCAGCGAAGCCGTTTCTTGCGGTCAGCATACAGTATCGCATCGGCGTTTTTGGGGGACTAAACACTGAACTCACTTCCCGACAAAACTTGCTCAATCTCGGTTTGAAGGATATGTATGTTGCCCTCGAGTGGGTTCAAGGCAATATTGCAATGTTCGGCGGGGATCCCGATGATGTTACGATTATGGGACTCAGTGCCGCGGCACATGGAGTAAGTCACAGGTCAGAAGGTGTATCTGAAGCAATCAAACTAACAGCAGGCGTAGATTGGCCACCTTATAATGGATGTGAATCAGCCTAAAAAGCTCTATCACAAAGCCATCATGGACAGCGGTGCTCATAGTGCCAGAGCCATCCATCCCCCTTCATCTGCTCTGAACCAGCAACATTTTCGAGAGCTTCTGGACCTCACACCTTGCGCAAAATATAAAGATTTGTTAGATACAGAAATCCTGAAATGCTTGCGAAATCTCCCTTCGGAGGTGGTGGATACTGCTGGGAAGGAGGTATTCGCTAGGTCTGATCCCTCTGTTAGATGGGCATGGCAGCCTGTCCTAGATGGCGAAATCATCTCACGAAGACCATTAGAGGCATGGAGATCCGGTAAATGGAATAAAGTCCCCATACTTACTGGGTCTGCGCACAACGAAGGATCTTTCTACGTCCCTCGGCATAGCAACGATCCGAAGGACCTTGTCAAGTTCTTCAAAACATTGCTGCCCCATCTTACGGAATCTGACCTTCGTGAGCTGGAACGCCTCTATCCTGATCCCTCAACTGATCCCAAGTCTCCCTATAGAGACGCACTTTCTAACCCTGAAGTTGGTGATCAATATCGTCGTCTTGAAGCCGCTTATGGGCATTACGCATACACCTGCCCTGTCCGCCAGACCGCGCACTGGGGAACCTATCACTCGTCATCTGATCCTCCAGTATTTATCTACCACTGGGCATTGAACAAGACTGCCACATTTGGCGCAAATCATGGTGATCAGATGAGGTATCAGACATATAATAAGGAGGTGCGAAGTATCTCACCTGCCCAAGATGAGGTGTCCGGCAAGTTTCACGCTTATTGTGTGAGTTTCATACTGGAAGGAGACCCTTCAGCAATCACCACTGGCAAATTTGGCAACAGGGAAATCTGGACACCTTGGGTCAAGAGCCAAGGAAAGACAATGCTTTTAGGTCAAGACAATGACGAGCGGGCGGGAGGATCCAACCCTGGCGTTGCAGCGCAGCTAGTGAATTACACTTGGGCAAACAAAGAATGTGAGTTTTGGTGGCGGATATCAGAGAAGTCGGAAGATTAGAGGGTTTTATAAAATTGTACAAGTATCTGAAGCATACCATCGAGAAGGAATTACACACCTATCTTTCCTTCCCACGATATAAGTGAAAAATCTTAAAGTAGGGAGTTTTTGTCTTTCAAAGCGATTGCCAATCTTATGGAAGTTATTCTTCTTCTCTAGCCGGCGCGGTTTTAAGGTGTTTCTAACTCAAAATGCCCACTCACGGACCGGATCCTGCGGCACGACAATAACTTAATTATGCCCCAATCTACTGTCATTAGTTCCTAACCCGAAACGCGTTACTGCACGATGCGAGAAGAGCGAGGAACACGAGAAAGCCGAGGCCGCGCAAGAAGGCCCAATATCCGCTCTAGTCAACTTGAAAGGGGCTATACATAGTGAAACAAAGAATGGGAAATGGAAAAGGAAAAAAATGGTTTAATTAATCACGTAAGCTAGACGCTACCCCGTGAACAAGCCCAATTATTGACATACGAGTGCTGCATCATGCTGCTGATACTACCCACTTATACGACCTGGAGCTTGATCAGCCTTGGCGATGAACGTCGCGAGATATCGAGATCTATTCCGCTCACTACCCATGCAATAGCTTATATGGAGAGATTTGGTATCAAATCTACCAATCTTTTCTCTTTTTTATTCCGGAGTCTTGGTACAGCTGTGTTTTAAAGAGGCATGCTTCTATCGATGTACGGGAACCTAGACAGGTAGGACAAAACTTTCCTCTAACTAGGCAAATCACAGCTCATTGGGTTTTGCTGAAGCAAATGCTCCAAGTCGGAAATTTAATTGCCTTCTATTCCGTAGCTTTACTCCATTTCTACGCAATGAAGGGAGGTCATGCCTCCGTATGGGACTAGGGCTCGGAATTCGGCACTTCGGGGGGATCGTAAGATACCCGAAGTTCGGCATCATCAAGGAGTCAAGATCCAGTAAACACCGTGGGCTTGGAAGTCCCCTGAGTTACTGTCATCTGAATAAATTTCTCCAGATGGTCTCTCGTAAATACGTGGTTTTCCACTGGAGATTTATAATCAGAGCCTACGCTCGCTATTCTCCTTTTTAGGTCTCCCTCTCTTTCTTTTTTCTTTATCATATATCTAGAAGTGTATCAAACACACTTCGAGACTCGAATATCTCCACACGAGCCGTATTATTCACTGAGAAAAACATTGTCTTCTTATTCCTTTTATTCTCGCTCGCTCCTTTGCTCCGTCCAATATGACATCATCTTCCCCCCGTTCAGATAGTTCGAACACCACTGGCTCCTTCAAGCTGTATCATTATGATCCTAATCGTGCAGCTGCTGGCGCTTTTGTGGCTCTCTTCATTCTATGTACCATCGTGCATTTGTACAAACTCGTACGGGGCAGGACGTGGTTCTTCATTCCATTCATCATCAGCTTAGCGTGTAAGCGAGTTACTATTTTTCTCCTTGCTAGCTTCTTCACCAACATTAGTCAAAATAACTAACCCTGTCTGTTTTAGTTGAAGCAGCTGGATATGCGGGAAGGAATATATCGGCGGGAGAAACACCCCATTGGACTACAGGTCCATGCATCCTTCAAAGTTTAACATTGCTTCTTAGTCCAACTCTACTGGCTGCGTCTATATACATGGCACTAGGTCGTCTAATACGCCTGCTCAATGCCGATCGACACTCACTCATTCGGACTACGTGGCTGACCAAAGTCTTTGTCCTTGGTGATGTCCTCTCCTTCTTAACACAATCAGGAGGTTAGTCGTGTAGTCTTATTCTGATTGACCAGCCACAAAGTGGCAAGGAGCAATTGGCTAATTTATCTCATTATACAGGAGGCGGTATGCTTGCAAAGGCTAAAACTCAGTCTGACCTGTCCATGGGCGAGAACATCATCATCGGCGGTCTCTTTATCCAGATCATCTTCTTCGGCTTCTTCATCGTCGTCACTTACATCTTTCACCGCCGTATAGTGCTGTCACCCACCCCAACCAGTCGTTCTATTGGCGTTCCTTGGCTTCGATTTCTTCACATCATGTATGCTGCTAGCGTGCTGATCATGGTTCGGTCCATTTTCCGAGTCGCTGAATATGCTGGGGGATATTCTGGCCCGTTGCAATCGTCCGAAGCTTACATATACATTTTTGATGCTACACTCATGTTCGCTGCGGCTGTTTTGTTTGGAGTTTGGCACCCAGGGAGTATGATGACGGCAAAAGAGAAAGGGGCTATACCATTGTCAGACGATGGCAGCAACCTGTATGGAAACTCCCCCAGTTATGGGGCTTAAGACAATACAGAATCTTGTCAGCCTGGCAATTTTGCTACATTTTCTTTTTCCTATTTTAAGCTGTTACAGAACCACAGGCATCTAGTAAAATAGCTTAATACTGACGACTTTTTTATTTACTTTGCATAATACAAACATCCTCGTCTGAGGTAAACCAACGCTTGCCATTTTGGAAAAACACGCAATAATAGACGTGCTAATGAATCGCTACTTGAGGCATTGCTCCAACGGACGACAGCCAACCTCCTGCGGCTCTCAGGGAACATGCCGGTTTCCCGATCACCAACCGCCAACTCCCTCCACTTCTGACATTTGATAGGAGAGGCCAGGGGTCACCACCTGCTTACAAGGTCTAAATGCTGACAGGAGTTTCCTCTCCTTTAGTTTCATCCTTAGTAATAAGCGGGGTTGACGTCGTGGATTAAATTAGTTCTCCTGAACCCAATGCACCAGCTTCAAACGTTTACCTCAATTCATTTCCACAGCTTCTGCCATCATGTCTCCTCAGGCAGCTCAACAGCTCTTCGAATTCAAAGGCACGTTCATTGAGAACTTGCATGTGCTTCCCAATGGAAATCTCCTCCTCAGCACTTTTAAATCCCCAGGTCTTCTCTATACGCTTGATCCGAAGGCGAAGGAGCCCACACCAAAGGCTATCAATGGCTTCGGGAATTCCACTGCTGTGACCGGCATCGTACCTCTAGGCGGAGATCGCTTTGCCATCGGTGGCGGTGTACACACGTCTTTTGCCTTTGAGCGAGGGACTATGCAAGTTTATATTGTATCCCTCGACACTAACGAGGTTGTTTCCAGCGTGCCGGTCCCAGACACAGCCACAATTAACGGCCTGGCGCCGCTTCCTGGGACAAAAGACGTGGTTCTAGGCGCAGACACAATCGACGGACGAATCTTTGCCATCAATCTGACAACCAAGAATGTTTCAGTTTTGCTGGATCATGCTACCTTGAAACCTTCGACGATCAGCGGATATGGCCCACCACTTGGCATCAATGGCATCCGAGCCTACAAAGACTACGTTTACTTTACCAACTCAGGAGAAGGCACTTTTGCGCGCTTCCGCGTCGAGGGAGGAAGCAAGGTTGGCGATGTGGAAATCGTTGCGAGGATCCCAAAGACGGGGCTCGCCTTTGATGACTTTATCTTTGACAGCGAGGGAAATGCGTACATTGCCACGCATCCCGGGTCTATTATCAAAGTCAACACGGATGGAGAGGTTTCTACTATTGCAGGTGATGGTCCAGATAGTATTTTCCGGGAAGCGACGAGCGTGGCCATGTCCTTGGACCAGAAGTCACTCTACGTATCGACGGGTGGTGATTTTATAAAACAGACCGTCGGTGGACAAATCATTGAGGTTCAGCTCTAATCCTTTACTCGCGTCCGTACGGATAGATGTGAAGGCAACACATTGCTTTATGGACCTCCTTGATTTGTTGCTGGCCGGGTTGGGCTCTACAGACACTATTGCCAGTCAAGTTAAAATACGCTGATAAATGCTTTCCTGCAACGAAACCGTGAAATTTCCTTCCCCATACTCCTAAACATAAACTGTTGAACCCAATGTTGTCGGTACTGCCGTTTGATCCCTGTCCTTCAAGGAGTCAAGACTTTCTCGCCCCCCCAGCCAAAATACAGAGCTGTGTTCAAACAGTCCGATTAAACGTGGATTGACCAACTTCGTATGTCGGCTCCGTTGAAATTATAGCAAGCCATGCCTATCCCAACCACAAAAGCCTCTTTCCCCCGGCAGCCCGGCTCAGACCAACCAGTGATATGCGGAGCGCCTTGGTGATATACCAGGACAGATTTTCCAGTAGGAGCACCCATGCAGCTGCCAGGATACAGAGTCGTATGTGAGCTGCCTCCTACGCAATTTGCATTTTCGAAAACCTTGACGTAGTGCCCGATCTCAGCACTTGGTGCTCCGATAACAGACGTTGAGAGAATGATAGAGGTCAGGAGTATAGTGAGCATTTCCGGTTGCTTTGGGTTTCGTTTTGGTCTTGTTCAAAGAGCGAGGGATAATTGTCTTTCTGTGAGTTGATTTTCTACAACTATACCATCAATCGGGCTCAGGGGCATTATATATGTGCCTTCCGGCAAGTTTCCACCCTAAATCCATCGCAAAACCGTCCCAAATGAAGATGTAGATGCGTGGATAATAAGCCCCAGGCCCAAAGAGTGTCCGGCATTTCTCCCAAAGCCCCACCGATCCCTGTCGCAAAACGGTCCCATATCCGGAAATTGTCGCGTTGATCCAAGCTTAGGCGCTACATGATTATGTGTTGAAGGAGCTAATGTCTTTACTACAAGACTTGGCTGATAAGTCTAGCACGCCTATCATAGGCAAATGTTTGAGGTGCCTCGGGACGGGAATGATTGGACGACAGAAAACTCCGGCAGAAGACTCCGGTAGAAGACTCCTGTAGAAAACTCCGGCTTAGGATTATTCTTGTCCTATCTTAGGTACTTAATGGTGTAGAAATAAATCAAGAATTCATAATTTAGACCCCCCCGACGACCGCCTGCTTCTTCATAGAAAATGAAGATCCCCAACTTGCATTTCTAGATGCTATATGGCCAACTGAGGAAAGTTTCCTTGAAATAGCTTAGTTCTCCTACCTCTTTCCACGCATCATTTTGATTCATCAAGTCCCCTCTTCTGGCTCCTTATTTGAGGTCACTACCCCAGGACATGGGTACTGTAGCCATGGACATGCGGTGCATTCGTGGCCTTGGACACGAGCCTTTAAGTTTCCACCATCTAAGTCGGACCTAGAAGATATCGAAATAGGGAGGTGAAACCATAATGAGTGGATGTGATATCAGAAGAGTTATGGTCGCTGAGAAATATTCCAGCACACTCAAAGGTCTATCACCCCCAAGATACAAGTACAAATATAATAGCAGAAACTGTTAGTTATGAAACTCATATTACGGGTGAAGCTCATCTGGGTTCATCTGTTATGATTGAGTATCCCACCCAAAGTGTTGATCATCAAGCACCTTTTAATCTCCGAGACGACAGACATGCGATTGCTTGTAAAAGGATGGATACAGCGCCGTCTTTGGGTTTTGTCCCAGAACCGGAACAGTCCCAAGCCAATGCATGTTAAATTCTCTGGTGGCTTTCGGTCATTCTATCTGATTTGGAAAGGATCTTATAATATTTCCTAGGATATTGGCTGCTCTAAATAGCCTCCCCAGGAAATCCCTACTGCCGGGAGGCCTCCATGCGAAATTTTCCATCCTACATACTGTACGCCAGCAGGAAATCTGTATCAGATTGGGACTATGGAGAAATTTATTGAAGATCTGGGGAGATCTTCAGGGGGTGAACGTAGGAGTACGTGAATCGAAACTGGGCCGAAGCAGGTGTCGCTCAAGAAGAGACCGTACAGCAATCTTTCTATCACGTGAGTTCAGGCAGTCTGTGCCAATTGCCTCCTAGCAATGATAAGCTGAAAAAATCCCTCTACGACTGTCATGCCTTCTCCGCTATCCTCCCCCAAGGACCAATAGTGGCCCAATGGCTCGCAGCATTATGCCAGATTAGCCCACCTCATACCACCACTGCCACCATTTAAGCCTGTGGCCCCAGGGGACTTTTTATTGGGCACCCTCATTGGATCAGTTCACTCATCAGACAAAAGAGGGCGGAGTGGTACAGCCACAGCCGTCAAGCCTGTAGGAGAGGGTCGTTTCTTCATCATGGTCACCAGAGAATCCAATGCCGTCTACTCTACACCAGCAGCCATCTCGTCATTTCCTATAGACCATTCTAGATGCTACAGGGATCTCAGATATCTTCCCTAGAGTGACGTATGATCCTGAGTCACTCCCCTGTTTGGCTCAGCAAGTGGAAACAAAACTTCCATTCGGGATGACGATAAAAGGACCCAAATCCCCGCATTTTGGAGGCTAGAACGTCCATGAATCCACAGCTGCATCGCCACGACTTAGTTGCCTGGCAATGACATGGTCCGGCGAACCAATCCAAGCTCGAAGCCCCTCATCTGGTTGCCTTGCAAAGACCACCAATCGAATCCCTGACATACACTATGTCAGCTTAGCATGATCAAACGCATTTTAAAAGTCTCGTCTGACCTCGTTGATAGCTCCCCAGGCTCAGCGAAACTACCACCAAAGTATGTCTTCCCAAACAACCGACCGGGACAAAGACCAGGTCGGGTACGGCGCCGACCTGCCCCTTCACTTGAAGGTGCAGGCGCCGGTAGAATACCTTGGCATTGGATCTTCTCTATCCCCACATCGACGGGAGATCGCCGAGTCCGGATTGATGCACCGCACTGCACGCAAGCTTGCTGTCCTGTTCGGCGACGTAATCCCCCAGGTCCCAAACCTGATTGCCGCGTACGGGACACGAGCTAGCGAAGTCCTCAAAGATTCCCGTGTGAATCCAGCGTCAGCCGAGTATCAGCTCGGCCCATTTGGCCCCTTCACGGGGGTAGATGCAACCTCAATCTGGGCTGCGGCGACATCTGGAGCAAGCTCTGTTGCTCTCCATCTCTTGGCATGTTTTCTTGCGCGCGCATTCGCTAATCCGGCTCATTCTGTTTCTGCCTGGGTCGAGATTATCCTGGAGCGGCAGAAGCGAATGGCCAACTCACATGAAGGCTCTTCAGCTCCTTCAAGCGAGGCCAGCGAGCCTATCTCTTGGGAGGAGATTCGTGAGTGGGATGCGTCAGCCCGAGCATGGCTTCGCATGGCTGATATAGCCATGAAGAAAAACCAAACACAGTTCAATCTGATGCTCATGGATATCAACGTATCGATCTCATGCGCAAACGGCTTGTATGCCGATGTTATTCAGTCATGGACCTATGCTATGCTGACACTAGAACATCTCCTCGGTGGACGTCCGCGTACCATTACCGATGGTGCAGTCCTGCTAGGCATCTCTTCCTGGCATATTTACCCCAACATCCTCCTTCTAGACGACCAACTTACAGAGGCTGGGTTTTTCGACAACCTCTTCCCATCATCGTGTTTCCTTACCATAGATGTCGCAGACAATGGCGATGGAACTGTGCGTCCCGGGGCCTCTGTTGTATCAAAAGGGGTCCGCTGGCCAGTTGTTCTCGGTCAACATAACCTCGACGGTAGCTCTATTGAGACAATAGGCACCATTGACTACCGGGTTAGCATCGATGAGCTTTATTTGATGGCACTCGGGAGTCTTTTAAGAGCCTGGGATGCGCCTCAATCAGAAATAGAACCTTCCCTGAACTGGTTCATTGCGCTCTGGAGTTCCGTTCAAAGTGCCAGATCACCTCTCCCCAAACTAAGCTGGATCGAGAATATTGCCATGGCAGCTAAACGCCTGCTTGAGGCTGTCGGTCCGACCAAGAAAGAATATCAACAACTTGTAAACTTTGGCTATAATCAAGGTCGCAATTTTCTAGTATCCCGCTCTCAACAAAAAGATTGTCTCCCTTGGTTTGGGCTGCGCCACTGGCATATTCTACATTCCCTGGGTGAGCAAACAGCCGGGGGCTGTGGCATTCGATACCTCCGCCAACTCGCCAAAGCAATGGAGTTGCGTTACGATGAGGCAATCATCACACAGATCTCACACGAAAATCTTTCCACCGGGAAGAAAGAGTTTCATCAGTATACTACAGCGATCAAAGTTCCTCTCAGAGACCATGAAGCTCCTATCGATAGCGACGACGGGGGACCGGGTGATGCCTCACAGGGCGACGACGGGACAGTGCCGGATCTTGTTCCTGACGAGGACCCGGTTCAAACTGCCCGTAACGGTAAGAAGAAGGCACTGTCGTCTACACGGCCACGTTACCACAAACTCTGGGAGGGCACTTTCACTCTCCACGATGAGTATTCCATCAGCAAGGTGATAGAAGAGCCGAAGAAATTCGATAAGTACTCTTTCCACAAAAACCCTCTGTCTGTGGGTGAGCAACTCCAGTCCCCATTGCACTGCTACAGGATTTCAGATTGCTTTGGGGGAAATGTCTTGGCGGACTGTCAAGCGTACCTCGGATATTCGTTGGATATCTTCCCCAAATCTCCAGTGAATTTCTCGAAAGTATTTGGTGACTCTACGGGTGCATTGCGACTCTTGGTGACCAAAGAAGCGACGGAAACTCCAGGGAAGCTTGAGGAGACTCTGAAGGGTTTGCAAACTGGCAAGAAGAAGCTACTCAGCTTGGAGAGTTCCATCGAGCGACTTACATCTGGGAAGGTCTGCCCCGAGAGTCTGTGGCAGTACTTGGAGGGCCCGGACCCTTACCAGCCTGAAGTCCTGATCAAGCCATTCCTCGAGCTTTGCCGCAAGGAGAGACAAGGTTGCGAGCCTGTCATCACCTCACTACGTAGCCTTGCGGTTGCACAATCTATTTACGAAGGTCTCGACGGAGCAACCATCTCTTCCAGCATAGTTGAGCGGGGGATTTTCGATGCAAAATGGGCCGAGCTTTACCACTCGAATGCGATTGTGAGTCGCTCCGTGGTTTTTGGCTGCATCGCCATGTTTGATAGTGGAAAACTCAATCTCGATACTGAGAGACTGGAAGAGGTCTTTGCTCTCTCATCTGGAAACTCCATCTATGCAGCTTCACGAGTTCTCTCCGATCCGAGTATTGACATTCCTGTCCATGCTGTCAGTCACATTGTCGGTAACATTGGGCGTCAGGGGGTTAGTCTACTCGTTTCTTCCCCGGCCGCCCAGCCTCCGTCTAAGCTGTTAGGCGAAGCGGGAAGCGCAATCAAGTATGAGCCATTCAACGGCTGCCGTGAGGACAAGTTTCAGGAGACATCACTACGTTTAGATATCACGGGCCGAGAAGCCCCAGTCGGCTGTGGTGTCGAAGCCACCCATGACCACCAGGCGTTCTTCATTGATTCAAGAATAGGTGTTTATGATGCCGGCAGATGGATTGGAGACCTTGATATTCCCACATTGCTCAGCTGGGAGGCCAGTCAGCATAACGTATCAGTTGCGCGAGTGGTCTGCAGCATACACTCCCCAGAATCACGGGCTAAAACATTGGAGAAGTTTGTCGCAGTAGATTCGTGGGGGGAGGTGCTGGGAACTCCTCCTGCGATCGGTCTTGTCCGAGCCTATAAAAACTGGCCCTCAAGGCTTGCTGTGAGCGTTGTATTAACGCAGAATGGAGGTTCAGACGAGGAAAGTAAGATGGACATTGACGGGGAACTTGACAGAGTTGTACCGAATGTGGCAGTCCTGGATCATGGGGATGAGCTTTGTTGGACATGCGTCCATCGGCGGTTGAAGCGACGGGTGAAAATGGCTACTGGGACACCAACTTTTCTGGTTGCGTAGGATGCTTCCAAGTGAGCAGCACTTAGGAGGGGACGACTCATGATTGCTTTCCATTTGCGAATTGAATTTAAATGATCAAAAGAATGTATTGTATTAGCGAAATTGTTGGATCGAAAATCAAGATAGAAAGGCAAAATTTGGCATAGCGTAATATTGCGGCTCTCCGCAACTACTCCCTAAGTATATGGGATATCATTTTAGAGAACACGAGACTCGAAGCAATAATGCTTTTTCTAACATATTCCTTAAACACAACTCTATATCTAAATCAGTCATTGGTCTATGGTACCTCCTTCAACGTCTTCTATCTATGTCTAACATCTAACGTCTATGATCCATCAACATCTAACGAATATTACCTTGCTAGTATTGCTCAATCAACATCTTCCGACGAGTTCCTACATACTTCATGTTCTTATTGTCCTCGTCATCTTTGATATACGAGACGGCTCCAAGACTCTCAGGGTCAGCCTGGAACGCCAGATGGTTAAGGAAACCAGCAATCTACCGATGCCATGTCAGTCTCAGTCCAGCAACTTGTGCTTCCTACGGTAACTTACTGCTTTGGGAAACCATCTGCCACCTCCACTTTCGTACCAGGAGATGTGACCACCCATTGACGTCGTAAGTAGCACCGTGTTAGGGTTTTGCTTGAATTCTTGCCAGGGCACGGCTTCCTTGGGAGCCACCTGCATGCAACGCCAATCAGCCAAGCGTTTTCTAGATTTTTTTTTCTCATTCAGGTCCTCGACTTACCGGGTCATCAAGAGCATGAATTGCCAAAAATGGGATCCGAATGGCCAGCACAGAGTCTGAAGATGAGGCATCGCGATAGTATGCCGCCTCGGTCGGGTATCCCCAGATTGCACACCTTTAAGCAAACTGTGTAAGCCAGGTATCGTGAGGTCATAAAAACAATGTGTAAAACTTACTCCACGAGGCGATCGAATTCTTCCATAGACTTTACTTTTGAGACGGCTTCGATATCAAGATGTTCTTCAAGAACATTTCTATGCTTCTTCACGTAAGCAACGAGCGCATCTACTGCAAATTAGCATATTGCCGCAAATGTTAGCTCGACCCCGTTACTTCGTACCTTTAACCATGTTCAAATAGTTCGTCCCCAGGCACTGGCCACTGAGGAGAGTGTTGGAGAGCTCCAGGTTGTATGGATTTGAGCACACAACTGCGCCACTGAGAAGGCAGTTCTCGCCTTCTTCGCCGCAGAACTAAAACTTGTCAGCTTCAGCTCCCTGTTCCAGCGCTTCTTTGTGGCTTACGTTTGTGAGCATGTTTCCTCCCAGAGAGAACCCCACTGCATATAGAGGCCTGTTCGGGAACCTCCCCTTCAACCATTTCACGAGCTAGAGAAGTCTGTCAGTTCCTAAACTCCCTGTGGGGGGAGACATAGATGGACTTGCCTGGCGAATATCCCAGGTGGCCCGTCCATTGTACAAGAAGCGGCTGGTCAGTTCGCTCTTAGCGCACCCTCTCGAATTGATCACACAAGCTTCCCAGCCTGCTTCAACCAAAGGCGCAACGGCATGTCTCAAGTACACTTCATGCGACCCCCCAGCAACGCCGTGCATGATGATAACCATGGGCTTCTCATCGTCGGACTCGAACTGCTTGAACTCCTCGTCGCTGAAATACGTGGTGCGCCGAAACAAGGTTGCATCCTCCCCCTCGTACTCATCCACAACAAAGTCGACGGCAAACGTGCCGACGAAGGTCTCGTGGTTAGACTCGAAGACCTTGCGCTTGTAGTAGATCTTGGGTCCTACTGGTTTAGTGGCCGACCAGAGGGTCTGCATGTGCCCATTGAGCAGCAACGGGTTCAGGATGCATGGCGGTGTGGTCTTTTCGACGATCTTGAGAAGATCGGTCTTGGCCCCTTGCTTGTCTCGTACAACGCGAGGTTGCTTCGCGTGGGTGAAGCCGGTCTTTGCGTAGCCCAACCACTCCATTGTGACCGATTGAAAGAAGCTGAATGAGTTGGTTAAGATTAATGACCGATGAGGCACCCTCTCCTAATAGCTAATAGCTCACACCAAACAACAAGACAGAATGCAAATTCCAGCAGAAAAGGAGGATTGGACTAGAATCTGACTAAGCTGATGAATTTGTTCCACCAATTTACTGAGCCGAGGCACTTCTAAAACAAGCTAAATCCGCCCAGATTTTTAAAGTGTAGGTACCTAGGTTATGATGAGTAGGTGGATCACAATTTCGGTCCCGGCCATGAGAATACAAAAATGAATTTTTCAGGGTTCTATGCGAGTATCCGATTGGTCCGCTCACATTAAAGTCTACCGAAATCATCAACACACTGCGTTAGGGAAGAATAATACCTAATTGGCAGAAGCTACCTCTACCTACCTACCCTATACCACCAAGCTAATCGGATCGTTCGGAATTGGCTCAACAAAACCACAGAAAGGAGCGGCTTAGCAACTGGAAGAGACTAGCAGCTGAAATTTTCCTTAGAATTCAGTGGAAATCTCTGGTTAATCAAATCGTAACGTGTGGGTGGGCTTTGCAACTGAAAGTTGGTGGGCTGACGAGAAACTTCATACGCGCCTTTCCGGCGGTGAGTTGATGATGTCTGGTATTTCGCAACCTCGTGCTGATACATGTCACATTATGCAATGTGGCTAAAAGGGTTGATTGCAATCATATTGGAACAGATATTCAGTTTCTCTTTACGGCTCGGCATCATGAATCCAATCAGGAGTTCGACAGCAGGACAGTAAGAGCTTAGCTTCCACACAATAGCCATGCCCCAGTTAAGAGCTTAAAGTGATTAGTGTAGGCAATATCCTCGACTAATATTTGAGATGGAACCCATTTGCATCACCAAATTGGTGGAAAAGAAGAGGTGGTAACACGTATGCGACACTGTCTGACGCGAGTATCTGAGAAACTGGCTGTATGCTGAATCATGACCAACTCCAACGTTGAATCTATGACCTGGTTTTGGAATACAACGTCTTAGTCAAGCTCAAAATTATATGTTTATTGATCCTAGCAACATTTAAATATCCCTTTCCGGTGTCTGCTCTGCTATGAGATGGAAAATTAAGAAGTGTCTTGACAATCTCAAGAATCAGGGAGCCAGTGGGGAGAAGGGCTGTAACTAGTGCTAAGTAAACAGCCCCCTTGGCAAGGCACGCACTAATTATGCTTATCAATCATGATCCAATCAAAATTTGTTCCATTGTTCTACCCGAACCCCTGAGCTGGTCGAAAATCTGAGGATGGGACGTTCCACATCGGCATACCCAGGGAGTTGCGTCGATCTGGGGACACAATCGCCTCGGATAACTTGATATTTTCTGGAGACGTTGCGCTAATACTGGCTAACGCGCGATCTCTGTGAGGCTCGCGTCCCCGCTCGCTCGACGAGCGTATGCCTAGCCCAGCTACTCATGCCGAAGCGTGCTTCATCACTCACCGACCTACAACGATGCCCTCTATCATCGAGAATCACGAAGTCAAGGACTTTCGAAACCGAGCAGTGTTTGTCCACTGCGATGATGCAAGAGGCATAGAGGAACCAGCCACCGGTTCCAATTTTTACGATGCGTCTGTCAACGAAAATTATCTACGCAAATCTGAGTTGATTGCCAAACATCTCAGCCAAATTGGTATCGGAAAGCGAGTTGAATCCCGGCTAACATTTCGATACTGAATGAAACTAATAAGGTTGAACTTTAGATTCCACTGGATTCTCTTTGTCGTTACCGGTTTAGGATGTACGTATCGAGCCCCTTGATTCGATCATCACAACCCCCCAACCCGAATTGACTGAAAGGACTTCTATTCTAGGGTGCGTGGACAATACATTTTCTCAGGGCATCACTGCCATCCGTCCGGCTGTTGCAAACGAATTCACAGACGTTGGTCGACTTAGTTTTAGTTCTATTGCGTACTACGTTGGACTGATAGTAGGTGCTTGGTTTTGGGGTACTGGAGTCGACTTTATTGGAAGAAAGCCCGCTTTCAATGCTACGCTTTTCTACGGGGCCATCTTCGCATGCGCCTCTGCCGCATCACCCAACTTCTTGACCTTTTGCTGTCTATGGGCTGTCATCGGGACAGCAGCGGGGGGTAACGTGCCCGTCGACAGCATCGTGTTTCTGGAGTTTATGCCACAAAGCCATCAATGGTTGCTTGTCACGCTGTCGGGCTGGTGGAACTTTGGCCAGGTTATTGTCTCGTTGGTGGCATGGGTGTTCCTGGCCAACTTTGCTTGTCCCTCTAGCCAAGCACCCTGTTCAAGAGCAGAAAATATGGGATGGTAAAAGACACTTTTCCGGACCCCGGCTGATGTTCAAGGCTGACCGCATCATTTCTTCTTGTCGCGTTAGGCGCTATGTCATGGTTACGCTCGGTGGTCTTGCGTTGGCCTTTGGTATCATTCGGATTTGGGTTTTCAAGATCCCGGAGTCTCCCAAGTACCTAATTTCCAAGGGTCGTGATGCCGAAGCTGTCGAGGCAGTAAACTACATTGCTCGATACAATGGAAAACCGGAAACCCTGACAATAGAAATGTTCCAGGAGATAGACGTGCTCACTGCTACCAACGAAGGCTTGACTGAGACCTCTGGCAACAACCAAGCCCTTACTGTTTCAAGTTCTATTGTGCCGGCTCGGGGCAAGTTGTCATCCAGAGACATTATTAAAGAGAGTTTCAAGGACTACCAAGCTAGAAATTACAGAAGCCTCTTCTCGGGACGCAAGATGGCACAGCATTCGGCTGTAACCTTTATCATCTGGCTAACGATTGGTATTGCTTATCCACTCTTCTTTGCGTTCATCACCTCCTACATTGAGGCGCATTCCAGCTATTCAGCTGACACGTCTTTCAACCATACCTATATGGTGTACTGCATCGTTTCGGCTGTTGGGGTCGTCGGCCCTATAACAGCTGGCTTTGCGGTCGAGTCGCGATTTGGCCGAAGGTACATGATGGCTGGCTCAGCTGTTTTGACGGGAGTATTTTTGTTTGCTTACACGACTGTCAAGTCTGAAGCAGCGAACATTGGCTTCCAGTGTGCAACAGCTATTCTTGGAAACTTCGGTATGTTATCTTCTAAGAGTAATCTCGCCTGAAAAGCTGAACAGCTAGCTAACGGAGAACCTCGACAGAGTACGCCGTCATGTTTGCATTCGCCCCCGAGTCATTCCCTGGGCCGATTAGGGGAACGGGAACTGGCATAGCTGCTACGCTGCTCCGCCTTGGTGGCGTGGCCGCGTCCTTCATCTCTACTTACGCAGGATATACCGTCGTACCGATCTATGTAAGTGCGGCGCTGTGGGTTGTTGTCGGACTCTTTTGTCTTGCCTTGCCGTACGAGACCCATGGGAAGGCCTCGATATAGGGCTGAGATGATGAAAACTATATGCTGTGCAGAATGATTAGCGAGCGATAAACAAATATGTTATGATCCCCCCATTTTCTCGATAAAGTGTGAATTTATAAGAAATTAAGAGCTTGGGAATGATGAAGAGAGTGAGCATTTGTGAATACGAACAGGAGGCAGCCCAAGTCCCTCCATTGCCTCCCATCGGATATTTCTCCGCCAGAACATGGGGTAAAATGCCAAGGAGTTGTAGATCTCCACGCCATCAGCATTTCCCTGTGGGACCGAAGCGAACTCAGTCTGAAATCCCACCAATGACGCCGTAAGATTTCCATTTTCCATCTATTGCTATGGAAAATATTGAAGCGCGCCAAAGATTTGATGCCTGAATAAGTCAACCCTTGCAACGCTGTGTCCAGTAACCGGATCCGCCATGTCCCATAATGTTCTTGGCTATTCTTTAGCTTCGCCGTGTTATTGGATTGATGATCCCATGCACCATGCTTAAACCAAGATAAACTATGCTCCACCGTAGAGGTATTTTGACATCCCGGTAGAACACATGGGAGGGGAACCAGACTACAAAATCAGACCGCTGTCGAGGTAAGCGATCGACTTTGTGCTGCTAACTCTCTTGCCTTACCTCTTGTCCTCATCCACTAAATTACTTGAGAATGCGTCTCTCAAGCTTAATTTCTATCTTCGCAACAGTCACGGCAATTGGAGTCGTGGACGCTGTTAGTCTCCCCCCTCATGTGCCCAGAGATGTCGTAGCGTTTCGCGAAACGCATCCATATTCGGCTCCGGATCATAAATGTAGGCGAAAAGTGACTATCCGACCCTCAGCCCACGAGAAGGATGATGTGTCAGAAGAATTCAAGAAGGGAATTCTTAAAGCCAACAATGGCGGTACACTCTATTTGGCCAAGGGTAAGACATATGTGATTGGCAAGGTTCTAGACCTGACTGGCTTGAACGATATTCATGTTCATCTGGAGGGTGAAATCCGAGTGAGTCAGCGCACAATGGCATATTAAGAATGTTTAATCTAATCAATGGTCGTTCCACAGTTCACAAATGATGTTGAATACTGGCAAGAGAATGCCTGGTATCATCCGTTCCAGAAGTCCATAATGTTCTGGAAATGGGGAGGCAAAGATATCAAGATATACGGAGATGGGGTAATTGAAGGCCAAGGGTATGTCTAATTTCAGAGCTGAGAATCTCCTTCCAGTGGACGAAATACCTCTTTTGATGTTAACAATATGATGCCAGGCAACGGTGGTGGAACGAATTTGACTGGGGCATTGGCTCGTGAGTTTGCCATCACTCTCACGATGTGGAAGGATTTTATACTAAAACGACTTGAAAATTATAGGATTCTCAACCCCAATAATAAGTACTACAGACCGATTCTGTTTTACGCTGAGAATACTACCAATCTGGAAGTCTCTGGCATTCATCTCAAGGATTCGCCATGCTGGAATAACTTCATCGTCAGCTCTAACAATGTCCGTTACAACGATGTGATTGCAACAGCTCTTTCCAACAACGGGAGTGTTATTCCCAAAAATACCGATTTCATGAACACGATGAATACATCGGGTGTGTATATCGAGAGGACCTGGGTAAACATCGACGACGACTGTTTCTCTCCCAAGCCTAACAGCTCGAACCTTTACGTGAATACCATGTATTGCAATGGAACACACGGCCAGGTACGTCGAATCAATTTTCCCATCTACGATTCATATGTAGAGAAATAAACTGACTCGAACTAGTCTATGGGCTCTCTTGGCCAGTATCATGGAGAAGTTTCTAACGTACACGATGTGCACATCGAGAATGTTTGGATGATGAATGGAGATGTATGAAAACACGATACACCTGAAACGAAAATCGAAACTCACTAATCCATAATAATTCTAGTACTCCGGTGCTCGGATCAAGGTCTGGGCCGGAAAAGAGGTTGGCACCGGCTATGTCAACAATGTTACCTTCAAGTATGTGATTTCCTCTTATATCAACTATCCAAGATTTGTTATTAACAAATTCTATTATAGGAACTTTTGGGTTGCTCGTATGGACTATGGAATCTTCATGGATTCATGTTACTTCAACATTTCCACTGAGGAGTGCAACAAATACCCAGCAGGGATGGATATCACAAACATACGCTTCGAAAATTTCACAGGCTATACCTCAGGTGTGTACGGGGATGCGGTTGCTCGCTTGTCCTGCTCAAGCAGTGAGACAGCTATTTGCGAGAACATTACTGTCTCGGACTTCAATGTGCAGTCACCATGTGGCGGAAAGCCCGTGATCATTTGTGACGGAATCGACAACGTCGGGGTTGACTGCGTTCCGTATGAGCGCGAGGAGGCGCAAAACGCCCTCAAAGCCAAGTGCAAGACACCAATCGCGGATATTAATCTCAGCCCTTGGGGAGGTAGTCATGTGAAGGGCAAGAAGGATGCATATCATCCTCTCTCACATTACGTTACTTGACGGAATAGAGCCTTGACGCCAAAATTTGGTAATAGAGTCCTAAAGTCAGCCCGTTCGATCAAGTATGCTCTCTTATCGTGCGGATTGAAATTACGTATCACTTTCAAACACTTCTTGGGTTTAACCGATAGTACACATTTGAAGGCGTGCTGTTTGTAGAGCAAGATTTTACGCGACCTTCCATGATCATATTGCTACCTACTTAACTTTTTGAATCAAATGAAATAACATTCCGAACATGTTCAGTCGGTTCTTGATATAGTGCTCAGCCTTTATGGCCATGTGTATTTGCCGCGAACCTCGATATTGGGAATCTGGAACACATCCCATTGGTCCGAGACTTCTGGGTTTCCAAAAGGCTTGAGCGCCGCAAAACGCATACTGCCATTTATAAGACCTCGGACGTCAGATTTGATCATTAAAGAATTATGGAGGATGTTTCTGTCATAGATTTGAAGTACTCACGTGTATTTTCCAAGTTCAATCTGACTGCCATTCCCCAGCTTTCCAAACCACCAGAACTCATGGTACGAGTTCGTGGTCTGGGCATTGCGGAAGAGATTATACTCCGGGAAGGTGAAGGTTTCATTAGGGTCGTACCATGCAGGATTGAAGTAGCTCACTTGACCAGCTCCAACCCAAGATGCAGCGGGCCCAATATAGCCATTCTCACCTGGAATGGGAGGATATTTCCAGTTGCGTTCGTTCCACCCGGCTTCGAATATCTGTTTCTCAAAGTCAGTATAAAAATCTTTCTCCATATAGGATCCTCCGGACTTTTCTTTATAGATCTTTACGTACATCCCATCGAATTTGGCTCGTGCCCCATTTGATCTTGGCGTAGATCTTGGGGAAATCTTGTTGGTTGAGGCTCAAATCAAAGGTATACCTAGAGAAATTAGCCTCTGATTTCTAATTGCGGGACAAAATATCTACCAAGGCTTGTCTTTGATATCAGTGAACTGAACGCTCGATTTGGAGAATGGGTAAGTGACCCTCCAAATAGGATCTAGTTGTGTTTTCAAGTCGGCTCCGAGCCCTTGAAAGGAGGTTAGATTCTTTGTCCCCAGTTTTGTCTCTGATTTTGCGTACCTGCGTAAGGAACAGAAAGTTGTTCTCCAAGGCTGCTTGTGACAATGATTTTCCCACTGTAAAGAGGGAACAATGCTGCATTCCACCCCAGCTTGTCGGGGTTATCAAAGCTAACCCTACACATTTTCACCGTCAGTCTATTCTTCCTACTGTCTAACGACGTCATCAGTCGAGGATTTGCTTACGAGACTGTCTTGGACTCCCCGGGCTTGAGAGTAAAGTCGCGAGGAAGGTAGATCTTTGGTTCGAGCTCAATCGGGACCAGCTCGGAAAGGCTCTTCAAGCGCCAGTCCTCGTAGCTGGCAAGAGGGTATACTCCGGCAGCTTCAACTCCGGCGGCAGCCTGGTATGAGAGCTTATATGAGACCTCTTTGTCGCCCTCGTTCTTCACAGTGATATCGTGGTATCGGCTAAAATACCGTGTGTCGTTTAGCGCGATCTTGTCGAATTGGATATCAGTTGTGTACTTGACAACCTTGAATGCATCAATGAGTCCGTTTCCAACTTGGAAGACTGGCGCGACAACCTCCTTTCCATCATACCATGGGAGGGCAGTTCCACTAGCGATGATCCGCCTAGAAAGCCACTTGCCAAAGTCCTTGCCATGTTTCTCCCTGCCTCCATGAGCGGCGATGTACAAGGCTGCGACACCAGCTATATAGGGGCAGGCCATGGAAGTTCCCGATAAAACCGCCCAGGCATCCTCGGGGTACGTGCTGAGAATGTTGCCTCCAGGCCCAGCAATATCTGGCTTCAATTGGAGAGTATACGTCCCACCCCAGGAGGTAAAATCATTTGGGCGACCACCTGAAGGGTACTCGAGGCCAACTGGCTGCTCAGGGTTGACAGTAAAGTCTACCGTCACGTTGCCCCCAGCCTTGATGGTTTCAATAATCGCCTCTCCTGATTTGGCGGTGATCAGGCCGAACAGGGATCCATATTCTTCGGTACTAGGCACGATAAGAGGATTCTCGTTGTTGTAAAACAGGATGTAATTAGCACCAAGTGCTTGAAGATTAGCCTGCTTTGTCGCAAATGTACAAGTGCCTCGGCGAACAAGTGGGATGGCCTTTTCAATCTTGGGAGTGCCTTCAGGATACGGCTCGCATCCATCTGCAGGGTCGGCGGTATCAAAATTATAGACAACCACAGGCCAGTCTTGAACTTCGGTGGGAAAGTAATTTGTGGCAGGGATGTATCCGATTGTGGTGGTGTTGCCGGTTCCGTCGAGACTGAAAGTTGCACTGAATGGCGAGGCAGGAAAGGTCTCAGTCTCTACAGAAGCCACAGCGATAACCTCGTTGCCACTGGAACCTGAGCTTCCAAAGAATGTCCCAGCTGTACCGGAGTTTCCGGCACTGATGGTGACAATAACGCCTTCTTCGACAAGTCTAGAGGCAACCACGGCCCAAGCACCGTCGGACCAACCACTGGTACCACCGATACTCGATGTGATGATGTCTACCTATAGCATTGTGTCAAATACGGTGTTTTTTAATCGGAATCCTTAGGAATGCTTGTCTTACGCCGTCATCAAACGCTTTCAAGAATGCCTCAATGAGAACATCCTCGGTGGTTCCTGCCTTGGCTGGGATTAGTCACTTGTTCTGCGCAACCTCATTCGGGGATGCAGGAGTAGCAGGCACTCACAGAAAGACTGAACACTTTGTAGGCATAGAGCGTCGCCTTTGGTGCTACACCAGTCCAGCCTCTAGAGGCGTTTTCATTAACAACGAGAGCTATGGGGCGGATGTGTGAGATTACTTACGACCCGTTGTCACCAGCAATAATTCCAGCGACATGAGTACCATGGCCTTGTTGATCAAGAGGATCATCGTCGGGAACCCTCTCCTCGCTCGGCCAATCTTGTAATTTTAGTTGAGCATCACGCATGATAACTTTCAATGATGGCTACTTACATCCGTTTCCAACAAAGTCGTAGCCGCGGGCCACCTTACACCCATCTCCGAAACAGCCTCCTAGCTAAAGCCATTGTCAGTCTTATTTCACATGTCTGTGAGCCTTGTGGAGCCTTGGGGTTTCCACTTACCGCGGGATGAGTGTAATAAATACCAGTATCTACAACTCCGATTTTTACACCTTCGCCGAAAATACCCGCGTCATGCAGTTTGCTCACTCCTGTTGAGTTGTGCGTAGTGTACTTGGGGTCTGATGGAATCTCGGCGAGCACTTCAGGAGACAATGGCTCAAGTTGAAGAAACGTGTTGGGCCATACTCTGGAGACATCCGGCAATGCTTGCAGTTCTTCCAAAGTGTAGGAGTCAGTTTTGACACTAGCACCTTGAAAAACAGAACTATCGAAGGTCTTGACTATCTCAATATCATCCTGGGACAAAATGCCATCCCGGAGTTTCGCAAGTCCCTTTTAACAGAATGAGTCAGTTACTAATTGGTATATTTTAAAAGTGCAATATCAGATACTCACAGGTGAAAATTCGACAATAAAGCTCTTCCCAACCGGATTTGTTGTATTTAGAGGTAATTCATCTTCGCGAGTGTAAATACTTGAGGCTGGGCTGCCGGCGACAGCAGCAACCCCAACAAGAAGCAGAGGGAGACTGATCAAATACATGTCTAGAAGCGCAAATCTCAATAACATGAGATGCTATGCTACTCGGTCCCTGACTATCTTCCATCCAAGCCTTAATCAGTTGGATGCTACCTCACATATATATGTTGACCAAGCTCTTCTTCACTCACAGAACAATAAACTGGGGAGTGGAGTGTTCTGTCTCTTGCCTCATCTTCTTGATTACAGCAAGCGACACAACGACATTTCGAGCTCGTGTTGCACAACGGTTAAGTGTGATGAGGTGCTATGCAACATCAACGTTGGGAGTGGTGATCTGCAGCGATATCGTATTCATAGGACCTGCCAAACAAGGAAACTGGATACTGGCCGACCTGCATGGCGTTGCTCTCTAGGGCTATTGCCAAGGAATACAAAGGGTCTTATCAATGGATCACTCGTGGTTAAAGTAGTATTTTCACTTCTAACTAGCAACTAGCACCGGCAACTACCGCATCAGGCACAGAAAACCGGTCTGATCGAAAGAAATTCCTCTTGAATACGGTTACAAAAAAGGCGTGGTTGAAGTTACATTTTACCCACATCAAAGCAACTATCAAGAAAGAAGTGGGTAATGCTGCGATACGTGCCAGACAGACCTCATGTGAAATGAAATTCAAGTCTCTGAATTGATGAATCTCATTCGTTGCACTATGTATCTCATAGGAGACACCAACACTATTCTGCCTTTTCATTGCATGACACTGGACTCATTCAAAATAATACGGACCGCCAACAAATATTTACATACCGACCTGGCTAGCGGTGTGCAGCTACAATTAGGCTGTATTGCCTCTCAACCCTTGTATACGTTACAATGCCAAGAGAATCTCGCTTCCAATCGCTGCACAGTTGATTCTGCCCGCGGTCCCGACATAAACGGATAAGTGACGTGCCGGCTATTCCGATATCATCACAAAAGACGATATCCGAGCTGATATGGCGGCATTTAAGCCACCCCGAAAACGAGGTTGTCAGGTGCGCCAAAAGTTCTCGTGGACCAAATCACCATGAGTATGTAATGTCAGGCGAGAACGCACTTGTCTCGACCTAAGAGTATATGCAAAGTTCTTTAGGATCAAGAGACCGGATAAGTAAGAATGAGATCCTCCAGGAGTAATGAAGCGGGGAGAGGGGAAGCTAGAAACACACACAAAAGCTTCAATCACAACAACAAACGTATGTGGCACACAGTGGTTATCGCGTTAGTTGATAGCTTCACCACCCTCATTGTGCTTCATCGCACGAATCCCTCCTCGTCTTGAGCAATTTATGGGATTTAGAAGAGAGCCATTTCTCACGAAGGAAGCATCTGGAACGCTCGTCGCAACCCCTCTTGAGGCCACAGTCGACTTCAATGAACGGAGGCAACATAAATAATTGATTCACTCACCAGTCGAAAAGTACGGTCTTCAGTAGATGAAGAAAGAAATCGTGCGATTTCATGAAGGCCGCGAAAAACAGCCCCTGTTATCTGGCTATTGAAAGGTCGGGCCCGAGATAAGCTGAGCTTTTAATCCCTGCCTCACAAGTAAAGTTTGACTTTTCCTCTACGCGAATATGATCTCCCTAATGACTTCTTTTTGTTTGATCACATTCTGTTCAGTGATAACCGAATAATGTATGCAAGGCTGGGCAGATATGGACGCTCCGGTTGAGTTTTGTTTGAAGGGTTTCACACAACGAATTTCAACTAGTACATTTCTCGGATTCCCAGACGCATAAGTGAGTTGAGTGGACTAAATTAACCCAAACAGCTAGAAGGAAGCAGGTTTAAGGTCACATGTAACTTAGCTATTTGACATAGTTATAAAGTTCGTAGGCACAAATATTGTTAAAGCTTATGGTGAGCTCACCGCAATGATTGCCTACAATACGAAAAGGCGGCTCATTGGCTGGAATGCGATATATGGCTTATGATGGTTAGAGATCTTGTGAAGGATTTCCAAGTTAATCTTGGAACGACGACGACCTGGGACGGTCGCCTGTGTTACAGATATCAATTGCGAAACTCCGTGGTGTTCATTTTCAGCACAACAGAAAATATCTCACGAAGTGTTTTGTTAACCTGAGCAACTCCATGAGGGTGTCATCAAATACTTAGGATGGACGATTAGCCTTACTAGCTGGCAGCTGGGCCGATTTGAAGAAACATAAGTCTCTCGTTTTTGGGATCTTTAAGGCTGACTTTAGAAAAACATCGTTACTGGGATAATATCTATTCTAATATCTATTCTATATGTCCAAGTTCTTTGTTCGGAAGTGAGCTTGAGGATTGCTGTGAAGAAATTTTAAACCAGGTCCCGGAGAAAATGATTCGCGTAGTCTCTCTATATTCATAGAGGAGAAATTATTGATTCTATGATGAATCATCGCATGATAATGAAGACCACCTCTCCTGTCAGTCTATTGACTTCATTAATGCTACACCAACTATCTGCTTCTTACTGATAGCTCTAAAGTGTTGAAGGTAAAAGGGAAAAAAAACCGGTAGATCGGTATGTTATACCTGACTGAGGTTTCGCTGGTGCAAGTTTAACGTACACATGTACTATTTGGTTGGCCTCATAGCGCATATGTCGAGATTCCAGACAACGCTGGAATTTATGAAGCCTCATTTACTCAACTCTACGGATAAATCGCACGATTTCGTAGGGAAGTGGTGGATCATATCCCGTACCTCAGTGCTAACGTTGATTGATCTAAAAATTGAGGGGAGGTGACTTGCGGAAACAAGATCTATATTGCAAGTTATGATGACATTAGACAGCATTTTAAAAAGCCACAAGTCGCTTAAAGATGATAGTGGAATATGCTGACATCTGCAATTAGATCTTTTCGTTTGAGGCAAACCAAACCGAGGACTGCTTGGATTTTCCCCGTCATTGCAAAAGCCTCTGGAGGAGTTAGGAACTTTGGAAATCGAGGCTACATGACCTTCGAATCAGGGAAGTTTTCATATTCTTCTACATCCGTCAGTGCCTTCCATGCCTGAATGCCTTGTGGTGGCAATATATTCTAATTACATGAGAGTTGAAACAATGCTTTGCGGCGCAACAGCGCCCCTCGCCACATCTGCAGCGATCAGCAAAGGCGGGTCATCTTGTCAGCGGACCATTGTTCATATACGCTGAGCTTCCATCCTCGGCAATGATTAACTTCTGAAGTCAGCATCTCTAGGACTAAGGTCCCTCCTGAGGATGCAATGCAATGTTGCAATAAAAAGCCGAAACGAAAGCAGAAAGTCGATTGCCATTCAGATTATGCATGTGAGAAGGAAGAGGTGAGCCCTATAAAAGGTGATCCCATCTTTTATTCAATGTGCTCATCCCAGGTGTATGCACTCTCGCACTCTCCTTGACCGAGAATCCGTTCCTTCCGTCCCTCTTTGATTGCATATCTTGACTGTTTCTACTTTCAAAATTCCCAAGATGCATGTGCTTTCTTTGCTCTCGATGGCCACACTGGCTCTAGCAGCTCCCAATATGACCAGGAAGCGAGCTGAACCCGCACCGCTCTTCAAAGCTTTGGATAACAACCCTAGTGCCAAAGTTATTCCCGGAAGTTATCTCGTGAGGCTGAGTGAAACAGCCGAGGCGCCTAGCATTGCACAAACACACAATGCTGTTCATACATATAGCTCAAAAGGATTCAAGGGCTTCGCCGCTGACCTTGATGATGATGCTCTCGAGGCTGTTAGAAACAGGCCTGATGTAAGTCACCAAAGATGTTTCTGCCTAGTTAGAATCCCTATGTTAACTTGATGGTAAGGTTGAATATGTTGAGCAAGATCAAGTGTTCAACTTGTATGACTATATATCTCAGGAAGATGCACCATGGGGTCTCACAAGGATCTCAAACCAGGCTCTTGGCTCTACGGACTATGTTTACGACAGTTCTGCCGGGGAAGGCACCTGTGTCTATATTATCGACACAGGTATTAAGGTTGACCATGAAGAATTCGAAGGCCGTGCCGAGTGGCTTCAGAACTTCACTGAGGACGGCAAGGACGAAGATTCCCTGGGACATGGAACATGGGTTTCTGGTCTGGTTGCCTCACGCTCTTATGGTGTCGCCAAGAAATCCAAGGTCTTTGCTCTCAAGGTCTTCGCCGAAGATGGCTCAGCCACTGGAGCGGGCATCATCGCCGCCATGGACTTTGTGGTCAGTGATTCCGCTAAGCGAGATGACTGTCCGAAGGGCTATGTAGCCAACATGTCTCTCGGTGGCGGCTTCAGTCAGACAAGCAATGATGCAACTGACGCCATGGTCAATGCCGGCATTTTCGTTGCTGTAGCAGCCGGAAACGATAATGTGGATGCTGCCGGCACATCGCCAGCTTCTGCCCCGTTGGCTTGCACAGTCGCTGCGTCAGACTCGAACGACGCCAAGGCTTCCTTCTCTAGCTATGGAGGCGTTATTGATGTGTGGGCCCCAGGTGTTGGCCTTGAGTCTACCTCATACCAGGGAGGTTCGGTAAGTTAGATTCCGCTTACACCCAAAGTGTCATCAATTCCAAGAACTGACTCAAGCTTTCTAGACCTCCGCGTCTGGAACATCCGGATCCAGCCCTATAGTTGCTGGTTTAGGAGCATATCTCATGGCCTTTGAAGGCCTAAGTGGTGGAGAAAGGGTCTGTGATCGGATCAAGGAACTTTCGGTCCAGGGGGTGCTCAGCGGTGTTCCAGAAGGCACAGTAAATCAGCTTGCTTTCAATGGTGCCTCATCATAGATATGATTCTACGTAATAAGCAGGTGTCATACATAGTAACAATTGCTTGAAAGAGTTGGTCCTAAACTAGCCCTGGAGATGTCGCGGGTTTCATGTGCCACTCCCGAATTGGAAACGGGGGCAAATAACCAGGGATCAGGTTGACAGTCAACGAGTGCTCCGTAACCAGGACAACAATGAATTGAAGGAAATATCTCTCCAATCAAGCCCTGAACTGACTAACGTAAGAAGGCACTGCCACTCTGTGGGCATTTCCGGTCTCTCCCCGTCT